GTTCAAAGTGATTCAATCCTACGCGTCATTTTTTCTGCGAATAAGTTATTTCTCAGCCTGCAGGCTGTTTAAAGGTCTTCCGCTGTTAACAGTCGTCGACATGTTTAGCGTTGCATTGTTAATGGGTCACTTTTCCTATGATTGAGAAGGTGGAAAGTTTTGAAGTCTTTAAACGATTGACAATAAAGCACAAATTTCTTCAATTTCCTTAACATATAACAAATATAGGTGCATAGTTTGGGTTGCACAGAGCTGCCATCTCTGAATAAAGCAGTCTCATGCACTCCCAGGCAGGCTCGAAGGTGCGGCGCGCAACTTCGAGTCGGGAGCGCGGAGACCACCCAGTTAACCGCCAATCTATAGTCCATGCTTGGTTTAACAACCCCCACCCTTCTCTTCCCTCCCCCTTTTGTAATATAATGACTATCCGTAAGGCACTTCCCAAAATAAAATTGTTCCACGCCATATGTCTTCCCTCCACTGCTTTGCTGTAGCAATTAACAATTAACCGTCATATTCCCTTCCATGATGAGTTATCAAATACCAAAGGCTTCAAAATTATTTGCATCATCATGAAAAATTATCTGGTGATTAGAAGTTAATAATGCGAACAAATAAGAAAAAAAAATGGAAACGTAGATGGAATATGGCTTTCATAAATAACTTCAACACAATGAGCAAGCATGACAGAACTAATGAAAATGCAAATAAACCCACATCACACCAATAGCCTACAATTTGTCAAAATCTCTCTAGTTCAATCATTTAATCTAACCCTTTCTAGCCGATAATACTAATTGCTCTAATTTAAGAACACATCCAAAAGTCATTAATTTTTTAGCTGCACCGTGACTTATGTAAACACAGGCTAAAAGAATGTGAAACTTCTCCATTACAAGTGCGGCTTTTGAGATTTAAGAAATAAACTAGTTGAGCCAAAATATAGTCAGTTATTGGGACTACTCATTTACTCAAGGTCAGAGAATAAAGTCACAAAAACAGAGTGATTAATAAATTGATTCTTGAAAAATATACTCTTCAAATTGTCTTTCACATGTAATCAAATTAAAAAATCAAATATTTCTATTTTCATAGATGTGTCTTTAATTAATGCTTAATTTATTACTAAACATTCGACAAGACCAGATGTGTTCCATGGAACACGAGAGTTTCGCCTGAATGGCATCAACATTTCAAAAGCGATAAGATAATTCGTTAAGCACACTAGACTTGGAAAATGCAAAGGATCAAATAAGCCGCGTCATTTGATATGTTAAGTAGACAACAAGTTTGAGCAGGTTTCACTTATTGTGAAACTCATGATCGCTTTCATAACTCAGCTATCAATAATCTGTAACCTCTATGTAATCAATTACCGAAGCAAAACGTCCTTGAGAATTATAATTTGCGTTTAGCATTTGTATTTGCTGATCACCATTAGAATCATCTTAATGAATCTTTTAGCATTTGATAAGATTTTAACATTTATATTTTTATGTCTTATCAAGGGGTGCGCAATAGACTTACCTCCACGTGGTACACCCTGGGCAACGCATACTTATACGGCAAAAAAGTCTGTCAAACCGGCAGTTGACATCTGACTTCAAACTACTATGGCCCGACTATTTGTCATATTCGACCCCTTCACAGTACTCATCTTACCTTTTTTATGCCTTTGTGTCTGTCTGTCTCTTTTACCTCTGTGAATCATTATTCTGTCTCCCATCTCGACTTTTTGTCACCTTAATGTTTCTCCTCCTCCTCCTCTCTGTGAAGCCCCGAAGTCAGCTCCAGGGCTAATGACAACTATCAAAACGCCTGCCATTTGATATAAATAAATAAATATGTCTTATCAAAAAACGTGGCCNTTTTGTCTCTGATGCGTGTTTTTTCCGTGACCGTGTTTTGGCCAAACATACCTATGACTCATCATGTGATGCCCACATTGTCCACTCCAAGAGATTTATTTATATCAAATGGCAGGCGTTTTGATAGTTATCATTGGCCCTTAAGTTGACTTCAGGCTCCACAGAGGGGAAGGATCATCAAAGTGAAAAAAGTCGAGAGAGGGGGGAGGGAGAGGGAAGAGAAGAATGTTTCAAAGATGTAAAAGAGACAGACAAAAAAGTAGAAAAAAGGTGAGGTGAGTACTGCGGAAGTAGTCGAATATGGCAGTGAGAAATCAACTGCCGGTTAGTAGACTCCACTCCAAGAGATTAAATATAAAGACTTATGGAAAAGTCGAATAGACGAAAGATGGGCACTAAATAAATTCACAACTAAATGCTCATAGACTAGTGGTGCTTTAGACCATTTCCTTTGCTGATACTAAATTTCAAAGTCAATCATTTATTTAAAAAAAATGAATTTAAGCATGAGATTTTACATAAAAGTCGATTTATTTATAAACATTCGTTTATATTTCCTTAAAGTGACCCAGGCCCCATTATTAGACCTTAACAGGCCTTGGCAATGTTTAAATTGCTTTTTGCAAGTACTTCCTCGATGTTTATTCACTAACCATGAACTCAAATGATCAGAACACATTCCTCATGGAATGCTGATAATCTGGCGAGCACATAAAGGCTTAAACGTCTGGGGGTCTTTATGCGGAGCCAATCTTCAATTACTACGTAAATTATGGGTGAAACTGATCTGGCTGATCTGAACGATGCATTGCAATGAATTTTATTAAGTAAAATGTGCATTTGAGCATTACGGAGTGTGATATACCCCTTTTTGCAGTCAAGGTATGCAATCTTACTTTACGCAACAGGATGTGTCCTCATAGTTCAAGTAAACAATAAAATAAACACGACCTTTCTCTCTGTCCTGATATATCGAACATGTGTTTAAGGACGATTGAAAATAAAAAATAAAATGCTTCAATATCCGTTTTGGACAAGTTGAAGACACCCAAGAGGTACTTCGACACATCTAAGCCGCTCGCTTGCAGTGATTTCCCGGTTTGGCCTTAGGTAACCTTAAACCCGCTTACCGAATTTCCCAGTCTAGGGTGTGCGATAGACTTACCTCTACGTGGTGCACCCTGGGCAACGTATACTCATACGGCAAAAAAGTCTATTAACCGGCATTTGTCTTCTGACTTCTAACTACCATGGCCCGACTGCTTGTCATATTCGACCCCTTCCACATTACTCATCTCACCTTTTTCTCTACCTTTGTATCTGTCTGCCTCTTTTACATCTGTGAATCGCTCTTCTGTTCCCCACCCCCTCGACTTTCTTCTAATTTGATGAACCTTCCCCCTGTGAAGCCCGAAGTCAGCTAAATGGCTAATGATAGCTATCAAAACGCCTGCCATTTGAAATAAATAAATTTCCCAGTCTTCTAACCTCTAAACGTTGACCACCACTATCCAGTTCATGACTCATCCATCACCTGCTTATCGATCACACATCATTATCTAATTCCTGCGTATCAACTGTTTCACCGTACTTCCTTTCACCTAGTTCATACGACGCGGGTCATGATCGCCTACAGTTTGCCCTTCTTCTNTAAGTAGACAACAAGTTTGAGCAGGTTTCACTTATTGTGAAACTCATGATCGCTTTCATAACTCAGCTATCAATAATCTGTAACCTCTATGTAATCAATTACCGAAGCAAAACGTCCTTGAGAATTATAATTTGCGTTTAGCATTTGTATTTGCTGATCACCATTAGAATCATCTTAATGAATCTTTTAGCATTTGATAAGATTTTAACATTTATATTTTTATGTCTTATCAAGGGGTGCGCAATAGACTTACCTCCACGTGGTACACCCTGGGCAACGCATACTTATACGGCAAAAAAGTCTGTCAAACCGGCAGTTGACATCTGACTTCAAACTACTATGGCCCGACTATTTGTCATATTCGACCCCTTCACAGTACTCATCTTACCTTTTTTATGCCTTTGTGTCTGTCTGTCTCTTTTACCTCTGTGAATCATTATTCTGTCTCCCATCTCGACTTTTTGTCACCTTAATGTTTCTCCTCCTCCTCCTCTCTGTGAAGCCCCGAAGTCAGCTCCAGGGCTAATGACAACTATCAAAACGCCTGCCATTTGATATAAATAAATAAATATGTCTTATCAAAAAACGTGGCCATTTCAATCACTGAAATAGACTTTATACGGTGGTTTTCTTACCGTTATGCTGATATTCTTTTCAATCAACAAGTTCATAAATAATAAAGGAATACTGGAATGCTTTCATCCACTTCATCTGGGTATTCCCTTTCCGATAATGAGGTTTATTTTCCTAAAATTTCCCTACCAATTGTCTTTGAATACCGTATCTTGGTACCCTTTTCACCCAATAACGCTAAAGTTTAACACAATTCGTGTACCCAGTAAGGATTTGCAGGGGTAGATTTTTCACAGAACTTGAGTACAACCTCTAAAATTTAGGATTTTGCCAATCGTGTCTTATTTAAGGTGACGTGGAAAAGGCAAAGGGTTCATGCGGGGCAATGCTGGTTTTTCTTCATTTTAAAATGAATTTTGAGATGAATTGTCTTACCCTAATCTTAAATTACAACTTTGTTAAATTAATTCAGCTTTTATGAGTAATTTTAGCCAAATAGAGTAAATTCGCATAAATAGCAAGGCAGCCTCAAAACGGGTGTCAATGGTCAAGTAGTTCAAACGGTGACCATCGCCGAAAAGGTGAGAATAAATGAGAGAATATTTGCGGTATTCGCTTAATGATTTGTCGTATTTACTATTTAATGCCCAGCTGGGAAGGGCTTTATCAATCTAGATAGGCATAATTGCCATCCCATGGGAACAAAAAACTCAAATGGTACTCACACACACGTACACGAATGAAAACAGACTTATCATGTCAAACGAATCCAATCAATACCCAGTTCCAAAGCAAATTTACTACCCCGAAAGTTCGAATATTAGTCATTATCATCAGATTATGCTAAGAATATGACATGGACTGTAAAAAGTTATTTATTTGTGTACATACTTTGTTTTAAAACAGTTTTACAAGAGGGACTCGGCTTTCTTTATGTATTCCTCTTTGGCTTTTTCTTGGCTCATTCCCTTCTTCTTCGTCCAGGCATCCCATTTCCTTCTTTCCATTAGAGATAAAATTCCGGGTCTGTCTATTGGCAGAAAAGTGAAAATGGAAGGAAAATGAGGCTTACCCTTGTTATTATCGCCAACGGTGGCTTGCTTGTAAAGACCATAGAGCTCTTCCATATCGGCTTCTGCGACGCCTTTCAATTCCCGCATCTTCTGAGCGGCAACCTCGAAAGACATTCCAGACATGATTATTTGTCACCTTTTTACTAATAACGCGCTGTTAATTTATCTTGCAGCCACCTTTTTATAGCCTAATGTGTGACCTTCACACAAGGCGCGCATGTTGTGAGCCATTATTTCGTCAATTCATCTTAAGAAATTGAGTGCATGAAATTGCGCATTAATTAATTATAAATTTTTTATGAATTTACTCGTCAATTTAAATAAAGCACTGATTTTTAAATTTCGCTTGTCTATTTATTGTATATCCATTTTATATGGCAGTGTTTCATTTAACAGCCATTATCAATATAATTTGAAATATCTGTTTTCAGTGTTCTAGCTGTACTAAAAAGATTACATGAGAGTATTTTTGAATGGTTTCATTTCAAAGTCAGATTTTTATGATAAACAAAACAGTACATTCCGTAATTTTTTACTTTTGTCCAGACGAATTGTAACGGAATGTTGCTTTTGATATAACTCAGCTTAACGTTACTTGCTCAAGTCATTCAATTATTAATATCGCTCATGTTTCTAAAAAATGTCTAAACTTTGATTTTGGCGCCTTAACTCTTTGGTTCATGGATGAAATTTTGTTCTTGTTATTTCCATGGATGATCATTCCTCCCTGGTGCAGTTGAATCTTTGTTCATCAAAAAGTGGAAAGATGAAATTATCACTAGTCAATAGAATTTGCTCGATGGAGATCCAATCTATTGCTAAACCTATGTCATTAATTAATTTTATAGCATTTTTTATATTTAAATTCTTCATTCTAGGCATAGTTTTAACGCATTCCTAGACACCGTGGTTTTACATTTGATTGCTATTAAATAAACTCATTTTGTCAAAGCACCGCCTTACATCACGCCAATATATATTGTAATTAAAAAGTGCAAATCAATTTTAATCATCAAATATTGTACTTATAGAACGTGAGTTCTCAGGTGGTGTCACCTTAAGAAAAGTAACATCTCTCATATTAACTCACGTAACGACAGTGTACTCGCTGATAAAAATTTGTTAACAAGTGTTAGTACTTATTATTTCTCAGCGTGATTTTTTTAAAGATACGGTAATTTGAGTCTGAATTAAGTAATACAAGGTATCATAAATTTGCTATTTACATCAGACTCATTGCAGTTAAAAAATTTGATGAAATATGAGGATTCAAGCCTCATCAGTATATTAGATCCACTGAACGATTGCAATTTTAAGGTAAGTAGAAATCACCTCAGTTTGCACATTGTTGTCCTCATCACTGAGCCTTCATTAACTTCCCTAAACCTCGTTTTATCACGAACACAAACTGCAGGTCTTAGTGTGACCACACTGGGGCTTATTCCGTGATGTAGTTAAGTTCGTCAAACTTATCATTTATCTAATCTCCCTTTAAAAAGCGCGCTTCGTATTTACTATTTAATATAGTAATAACGATTTCAACTTAATTCAACAAATTGTCGCATTCATTTCCGTACTTTTACTACATCACACACCTAATCATAGCAAGATCGTACTATAGTGTTGTACTAATAAAGAATTCTGTCCTATTAGTTGTCACTTGCTAGATTGAAGGAAGTAATCACGCTTCACTAAATAAATGACATCGCATCTTGGCAATTAGTAGAATTGAATGATTTAATAATCCTAAAGCATTCATATCCCTTATCAAGCAATGAAAATGTATCTTCAAAACTGTGTAACACAGTCCCTATACTATAACTATAAAGATTAGCTCTGACTAGAGAAAAAATAAAGCGTTCATTTATCTTCATTAACAATTTGGCATATGCATATGGAAAACATTTCACAAATGGATTTATGAAAGGTGGGAAGAGAGGATAGAGATTTTACTGAATATGATTGGTGCTAAGGAATATTGATCGCTGATTCACTGTCACCCGGTGAAGCAAGATTTGGCCCCTCTGCCACACCTCAGGTAAAAGTTATTCATATCAAATGGCAGACGTTTTGATGGTTATCATTAGCCCTTTAGTGGACTTCAGACTCCACAGAGGGGAAGGAACATCAGAGTGAAAAAAGTCGAGAGAGGGGGGGGGAGGTGGAAAAGAAGATTGTTTCAAAGATGTTAAAGGGACAGACACAAAGGTATAAAAAAGGTGAGGCGAGTAATGTGGAAGTAATCAAGTATGACATACAGCCGGGTCATGGTAGTTTGAAGTCAACTGCCGGTTAATAGACCTTTTGGGGTATGAGTATACGTTGCCCAGGGTGCGAAACGTGGAGGTAAGTCTTTCGCACACCCCCCTCAGGCAAAAGTCAGAAATGATTGTCAGTCCGTGTTTACGACTACAGCAGTCCCTATGCTTAGCCTCCTATCTACCTACTGTTGTGGAAAAAAGCACAAAGCACTGCGTCAGTACTTCTAAAGCTTCACAGTTAATGGACGGAATTCAAGCAGTTGTTGAGACGCTTCCAAGAAAGATGAAAATCAGCTGCCGAGGTTGGGGGGGGGGGGATTGAGGCGATAATACGGCTAATTTTAGTTCAACTCTTCGACATCACTATAAGCTTCCTATTAGTTCCTTTAAAATCTATCAAATGTTGAAATTAGCAATACTTTTCTTCTCTTTCTCCTGATGTGGCTGTTCAAGTTGTCGAAGAAATCTTGCTTATATCAACCATTTGGCTTGGCAGAGCTTGATCACAGTGCGTTTTTCACCTTGGTTACGAAATGATAGCAAAGTTTGGTATGGATTGAGAAAAGAATTCCAGAAGCATACCTGAACCTTAGGAACCTGAACCATACCATCCAAACGATGCCCGTACGAGAGACTTGAAAATGTACTGAAGTCTGATATTTTAAGGAAAATTACCCACCCCCCTAGTCACTTTTCTTATATGATAAGCTGACAATTCTAAGTTCAGGTCCTTACGACTCAAACTCCTACTTATCATGTCTAGACGAGTTCAGTGGTTCTCCACTCTTCATTCTTGATGTCTCGTTTCATTTGCAAGTACGCTTGTACTCATTCCCTCACGCATTTCACTGCTCAACTGATTTTGCATTTCCATCCAAAAGTACGATTATCACTTCCCTCACATATCATCCAACACTCTCGAGTATTTTGCCTTTTGAATCTTCGCAATGTTCTACTTTTTTCCTGTTGCTAGCTATTGGGTTCAGTCTTAGATACTGAAATCTGGTTTTGGTCCATTAACATCTAAGTTGGCTATTTTGTTACTCCAAATTCAACCCAGTGATGACCTTGCGACTACCATTCATGCTTCTCGCACAACAATAACTATCGCAATACAATCACTGTAACGTATTATTAATCAAACCACAAGTCAACCATAAGGTGTGGAAAAGATTAGGTTATCGTATTCAACAAGCATTTATAGTAAACTGTCGAATTCCAATGAAGACGTGGTTTTATAGATAAAGGAGCTTTGGCGATCTTCTTGTACACAAGTGAAGTGACAATTCACTCTATTCATATCTGAAAATTGTCAGAATTGTTCATCGAAATAAGTTAAATAATCTTTTCATGTTCATCTTATTCTGCCATAACAAACATTAAGACCATTGATTAGATTAATCATCTATGGTCAATCAAAATCCGATCAAACCCAATTGTTTACATGTAAATGTGTTCAAATGTATCGTCCGTTCTGACTGACGATAGGTCTCTCGCTGCCTCTCTTTGGAACCTTTGAAATTGCGACACCGGTCCCGTCTAAGCCATTTAATCTTAGCGTTTTGGTGTTGAGAATGGAAGTGGTTTCATTTGTCCTCTTCGCCCCATGGCAATTTGACTTTGTAGAAAACCTTCTCTTCACCATTGACCAATTTCGGGAAACGGGTCTGTTGAGTCCTGTGATTCAGTGCCTATTATTTATTTCAAATGGCAGGCGTTTTGATAGTTATCATTATCCCTTTAACTGACTTCGGGCTTCACAGAGGAGAGAAACATCAAAGTGAGAAAAATTCAAGATGGGGACCGAAGAGTGAGTTGTAGATGTATAAGAGACCGACACAATGATAGAGAGTAGGGTAAGGTGAGTACTGTGAAAGTGGTCGAATATGACGTACAGTCGGGTCATAGTAGTTAGAAGTCAGAAGTCAACTGCAGGTTAATAGACTTTTTTGCCGTATTAGTATACGTTACCCAGGGTGCGCCACTTGGGGGTAAGTCTATCGCACACCCCTCAGTGTCTATTATAAGAATAACTCTGTGGGATTTAGTGCAAGTCTTCAAAGATGAAAATACCCGTATTATTCTCCCTCTCCCTCCCCCGTAATATACATGTACCACCTTGAGTAAGCATAGCTCTGTTNAGACGTCGGCCGGTCCATGCATTGCAAAATCGTTGTCCTCTTCTTAGCAAGTGTGTCAGCAAGCTCATTACCTTTAATGCCACAGTGACCGGGAATCCATTGTAGGACCACTGTTTTGTTTTTCTCTCTCAGCAGCTGATAGATTTTTCTACATTCGTCTATCTCATCTGTTTTGGGTGGCTCTCTACTTCCAATTGAGTTTATTGCTGACTGTGAGTCCGGGGACCAAGAAGTCCATTAAAGAAAATTGAGTTTCAGGGTATTGCACAGTGGCTCTACTTCATGTCTCGGTCTCTCTACGCACTCGTCTTTGCCCCCTGTATCTCCCCCCTTCCTAGGCTCATCTACTGTTCTCATCCACATAATAATGGCTGAAGCCAAACTATGCGGTATAATAAACTAGTGCTAGTATTCACGACAAGGCAACCTTCTTTTCATCAATAGGAACAGAAAGTTTGTTGGGGGGAGGGGGGGGGTGGAAGTAGAATTGAGTGAAGGTATCAATATGTGTGCCAATTTCGCACTTCACGATATGTATCAAGATTAGTGTTCAGCTGATAACTTCAGACAATTTGCAAATGCCATTATATTGAAAAATCTTAATTCTCTAGGCAAATAAGGCGCTCTCTAATGCTAGTATGCCTAATTTTTGTTGGTATGATCTAGTTGCCCACAGCTTCAGCTTACCAAAGCTTAGATTATTAAGACAGTGTGTAGGTAA